AAAAATGCTTAGAGAATAACAATGGTAAATACACTGAGTTTTGTGATCTTAAAGAATAAATTTTTAATTGATAAGTATCTCTCAAATCATTTCCTAATAATACTGTACCTTTTTTGCATAAAACTTTTTAATTATTAACAAAATATCTCACTCTCATATAATTTTCAGCAATTTCTTCCTATTTCACAATATTTGGTATATATTTTAGTTCCCATTTATAGTTTCAGTTTTTCACACCAGAGAGACAATGTGATATTTACACATGTGTGTTCAATTAATTTCACTAAAGGGTATGTCCTCTGAGTGCATTCATTTACCTAGAAATGCCCAGGTTTATCTTTCTTTATGACTGAATAGTACTCCATTGTATAAAAAACAACATCTTTTTTATCCATTCATTTGTTGATGGGCACTTGGGTTGTTTCCAAGATTTAACTATTATAAACTGTGTTGCTATAAACATGGGTGCATATATATTGTTGCAGTATGATTTTGTAATTCTTTGGGGAAGATAACCAGAAGAGAAATAGTTGGGTCAAATGGGACCTCTAATCTTAGTTTTTTGAGGAATGTCCGTAATGGTTGCACCAATCTTCACTCCCACCAACAATGGAGAAGGGTTCCTTTTTAGCCATTCCCATCAGCATTTGTTGTTGGTTGATTTCTTAATAGTAACCATTCTCTCTGGAGTGAGATGGAACCTCAGCATTGTTTTAATTTGCATCTCTCAAATGACGAGTGATGTTACACACACACACACACACACACACACACACACACACACATATTTCTTTGCTGTTTATCTGAGAAGTGTGCATTCAACTCAGATGCCCATTTTTGGATTAGGTCTTTAAGGGGGATCTGATTTTTTAAATTCTTTATATGTTCTAGATATTAGTCCTTTGAGGGAACACTCACTAAAAAAATTTTTCCCACTCTGTGGGTTGTTTTCGCTCTGTTGGTGATTACTTTTGCACTGCAAAAACTTTTTAATGAGATGAGATCCCAGTTGTTGATTCTTTGTATTATTTCCTGTGTGTTCTTCATTTTGTTCCTGAAGTTTTTCCCTACACCTATGTCCTTAATTGCTCTAATTATTCTCTCTTCCAGCAGTTTAGTGTTTCTGTTTTAATATTTAGGTCTTTGGTTCACTTTTATTTTAGTTTAGTGTATGGTTAAAAACATGGGTCTAGTTTTATTCTTCAGTACATGGAAAACCAGTTTTTCTAGCACCATTGATTAAAGATGCTGTCTTTCTTCCAGTGAACATGTTTGACCGCTTTGTCAAAAATAAGTTGGCTGAGTTTTTTAGGTGTTTCTCCATCTTCTAATCTGTTCTGTTCCACTGATCTTCAGGTCTGTTTGTGTTTGTTTGTTCATTTGTTTTTTCCAGAACCATGCAGTTTTTATCACAGTAGATCTGTAGTATAACTTCAAGTCAGGGATTTTGATGCCTTGAATTTGATAACAGATCACTCTTTAAAGTCTCTGCCTTTGATTGCTTAATGGATGGTGAAATTTTGTAAGTTACCTTTAACTTCAATAAAGAAATTACATACAGACTCAGAAATACACACAGGAGAAGACAGAATTTCAGTTTTTTCTTTTGAGTTAAATGTTATTTCTCATTTGTGTTCCTTTTCCCTTGTACTACAAATGAATATAAAATATTATTTACTAGGATGTCACTGTGAAAAATGCCCTCTTTCTTCCCCCGACCCACCCCCAGTCTAAAGATTTAATCTTCTTGACTACATGAGGTAACTTTTATCCTATTTAACACACTCTGAGATATTTAGTGATCTGAAGAAATTAAAAAATAATAAATGTTGATTTGAATTGAGGCCTATCTGGTCACTGCTCAACCAATGAAAGTTCTTTTTACCATAAACATATATAACCCTAATTTACAGTGTAGATTATTAAGTAACAGAAGTTAAGCAAAGTAAGGACTTTCACTTTGACAAAGTTTCTTCCTTATAAAGAACGTTCATGCAGTTACAGATTTTGCTTGAATGTATAAAATAGTTTAGAGTTTTCTGTATTTCTTTTATTCATTTTATTTAAAACAATTTAGCATTAATGCATATGTGTAGTACATAAGGAATTTACATTCCTTGTGGCAAGTTGGTACAGGTACATGTCACATCTTAAATCCTTTTGTCATCCTTTTCTTTTCTTTCATTTTTATTTATTTATTTTTTCTGTTTCTGGGGGTCTGATCAAATTCTGGACCTTGCACTTGTGAAGCAGGTGGTGGCACCAGTGAGATAAATTACTGATTTGTCATCCTTTGCCTTCTTCCCTCCTCCATGCATCTTTTGATCCATTTCAATTTTTGTACACATTTGTAATACATAATGTTCACATTCTTTGTGTGGAGTTGGTGCATGTATATAACATGTCTCTATTCCTTTTTTTTATCTCTTAACCCTTCCCTCCCTTCCCCTTCCCTTTATCTCTTGATTTCCTTCCCCTTTGAGAATGATCTCTCTACTACCTATTATCTATTTTTATTTTGCTCCTTAGTTTTACTCTGCAGTTCCCTATAAAAGAAACAATGTAATATTTAAGCTTGTGTATCTGACATTTTCAGTTAACTCTAAGGCTCTCAATGTGCATCTGTTTTCTTACAAATGACTCAGATTATACAGTCTATATTTTAACAACTTACTTTATCAGTTAGGTTCACTGGATCTTCAAGATGTGCCTGTCTATCTTGATTAGTGTGTATTGTACCAGGTGCTACCAATTAGACTAGGAATGCTGTGAGGGCACCCTTCAGTATTCACTGGAATATTTTTAGTATGTTTGAATTATGTCATGTTTATCATCTTAGGGAGTAGGTATATAGACTTAACATATCTTAATTCTTTTTATTTCTATTCCTATCTAGTTCCCTCCTTCTACCCTCCTTCTGTCTCTAGATCCCCTTACCATATGCAAGGGATCTATCTCAGTGCTTACTTTTGTCCATCTTTTATTTTGTTTGTTATATTACCTTGGGTTTTTATCAAAGAGAATTTATGTGATATTTAAGCTTGCCTGACTTAGTTCACAAAACATTACTTAAAATGCATCTATTATCCACAAATGACTAAATTTATCATTCTTTATGTCAGAGTGATACTCTACTATGTATAAATATCATATTTTTTGATCCGTTCTTATTTGTATGGGTATATATGCTCCTTCTAAGATTTAGCTATTATGAGTTGTGCTGCTATAAATATGGCTGTATATGTATCACTCTGGTATGATTTCTTCACCTTTTTCAGAAACATGCCTAGAAGAGGAATAGCTGATTCAAATGGAATTTAAAGATTTAATGGAACCTCCACACTGATTTCCTTAGTGATTTTACCAATTTACATTTCCACTGAATATGTAGAAGTGTGCCTTTCTTCTGAGATCTTGCCAGCATTTTTTGCTTGAGTTTTTGAGAGTTTTTCACCAGAGTTTGAAGGTGCAAAGACAGTATCTGGGATGCCTTCTATTTCAACCACCCAAGGCCAAACTCAAATAATTATCTTTAACAACTTCAACATTTTAAAAACTCAAACATTTAAACTACAAGCTAGTGTTGATTTTATGCTGAAGCTAATATTAGACTTTGCTAATGTGGGGAGGAATTACAATGACTTTATTGTCAATGAGTTCACATCTAGATGGCAAGTACATAAAGAAGCTTAACAGGTAGGGAGTTATAAGTAATATGATGTTGTTAATCATGGAGTGTGGAGTAGAAAATAAAGAGTCACATTACATCAGTTCTGAGTCAAGAGAAGACTTGTTTTAAAGGAAAGTACTCTTCCTGAGTCATATGGAGAAGGTGGGAAAGAAATCATATGCAAAGATATGGAAGGGAAAGAGAAGATTCAGGTAGTTTGTTTTGGCATGACTATAATATGTGAGAGAGGGAAAGAACTAAGGGTAAGTTACATAATTTTTCATGTTAAAGTAGATATGACTTTTGTGTGATGTTAATGGAGAATTACAGCAGAGACACTGGCAAGAAATCTTGTATATTACAAAGACAATGCCATAAACAAAGGCAATATGATCACCTGTATTATATATAGAAGTTCGTGTAACCATCAGTGAGATCTGAGCTATGCTGACTTGGAAGAAAAAGCATTGTATGTACATGATGGTTATTTGTGAGAATTTGAGCAAAAGAAGAAACTGAGATGATTACCAGATTACTTCATGACTGACTGGGTGGATGAAGATGCCATTTGTGAACACAGAGGAGCAGCAAATTTGGAGATAAATTAAATTTGGATATATAGATTTTGAAAGATCTAGGAAATATTCACATAGAGATATCAAATAGATATTGGATTTCAAGTGTCTGGAGTTTAGGAGGGAGACATGAAGATTTAACACTCATTAGTACCATCTGTTAATGATTTTATAAGAATTAAATAATATGCACTTGAATAAGATGTATATACTCGCCATTTAGTGCTTTGGTGAGCATATGGAATGCTTACATACAAAGGTAAACTTATAACACTTTTTTCACAGGTATATCTGAAATAAATTTTAATTCCTAATAATATTTCTCAAGACTTTTTTTAAGTGCTCAGATTTGTTTCCTAGTGTTTATGATAAGTATTTGACATAGAAGCAACTATTCCCATATTTCATATAAGTAAACTGAGTAAAGTGGTATAAATTGTCTAAGGCTATATAATAGCAGCCAGGGCACTCAAAAACAAGTGCTCAGTTTTACATCTCACTGTCTGGGTTAGGTTGCTTCAGCATTAACCACAGGTTGCATTGCACTCATGCAGCTTCTGGAAAGGCTTCAACTACACCCTTGGTCTCTGGCTAGGCGCCCAGCAGGTGATGACAAACAAGCTCCTTGGGAATTGTGGGTGGATCCTGGGCTTGTAAATCAAAGGGTTCTTAAATACATCTTTGCTTAGTCTGTTCTCATTTATTCAAGGCTCACTCAACCCTCAAGCACTAGGACTCTGAGGAATCCAGGCAGCATGGCACCTCCAGTCACAGTCAGATTCCAGTTGCTCTTCTTGAGAGCAATAGGTTTTCTCATAGGCTTAATAGGCCAAGCGGCTCGTGCTTTTGGCAGCCACAAATTTGACTCAAAGACCACAAGGCCAGTGACTGAACCATTGCTTCTGCTCTCCGGGATACAACTGGCCAAAATGATTCGTCAGAGGAAGGTGAGTATAAAAGGAAAGCTGATTTTGAAAAGGGTGGAAGAGACACATCTTTCAATAGGCAACTCCCAGGAAGTTTAGTGGTGGTGGAGATGGTAACTTGATTGAATTGACTTTCTTTTCCACTTTCTCCCAGAGTGACAAAAAGAGAGGTATTTATTTGGGATAAAAGAAGACTTCTGGGGAGATACAGTATGCTACCTCATATGCAGGGCGTTTTATTTATTTTTTCTTCTGGTACTGGGGCTCGAACTCAGGTCCTTGAGTGTGTGAGGCAGGCAGCAGAATCACTAAGCCAAATCCCCAGCCCTAGGGCATTTTATTTATTATTATTATTATTATTATTATTATTATTATTA